AATCCTGGCTTGCCAAATTGTACAGGAAAGAAATGAGAGATTGTTTTACAAGCTTCTAATCGACAATGTGGAGGAGCTGCTTCCGGTGGTCTACACACCGACTGTGGGAGAGGCTTGCCAGAAATATGGAAGTATCTTTAGACGGCCTCAGGGTTTATATATAAGTTTAAAGGAGAAGTAAGTTTAATTTTCAGTAATATTAATATTATCCTAGTGTTAAGAATCTTTGTATGAACTAGGAGTGCTGAATTTGTGGCTTGCAGGGGAAAAATTCTTGAGGTTTTGCGCAACTGGCCTGAGAAGTCAATTCAAGTTATTGTTGTGACTGATGGTGAAAGGATTTTAGGACTCGGGGATCTTGGCTGCCAGGTGAACATCTTGGATTCTTTTTGTTCTTTTACACAGATTTTTCAAGACAATATTATTTCTTAATATAATATATATTATGTATGTAGATAATTCCAGGTCTTGAGTATGCTTTGTTATAATGACGCAGGGTATGGGAATACCAGTCGGGAAATTGGCTCTGTACACTGCCCTAGGAGGTGTCAGGCCTTCTGCTGTAAGCTTTGCTGTTATTTATGTATTTTCCCAAAATCATGGTCTATATGATTCCATAAAGAGTTTTAACATTTTGTCTGTAGTGTTTGCCGATAACAATTGATGTTGGCACCAACAACGAGAAGCTACTAAATGATGAATTCTACATTGGGCTCAGACAGAAACGGGCGACTGGAAAGGTTAATTTTGACATCTGGTTGATTAAGTTTGTAATCCACTATTTTTTTTTTCTAGCCTTTGTTGAATATAACACACTAGTGACGATTGATTGCAGGAATACTATGACTTGTTGCATGAGTTCATGACTGCCGTGAAACAAAATTACGGCGAAAAAGTTCTTGTACAGGTTAGTTATTTTTGTTGGTCTTTCGCTCTCAGTTTTCCGAGTTTTTTTTTTTATTTTTTGTTAACAATTTTGAATTTGTACTGCAGTTTGAGGATTTTGCGAACCACAATGCTTTTGAGCTTTTGGCTAAATATGGAACCACCCACTTGGTTTTCAATGATGATATACAGGTATGCTTCTGTGCTAGTTAGTTGTTGGCTGGCCTGTGTTTCAAGAATTTTCAGTCTTGTATAACTCTTTTTTCTTATTCAGGGGACAGCTTCTGTTGTGCTTGCTGGGCTTGTTGCATCGCTTAAGTTGCTTGGTGGTACCTTGTCTGATCACACGTTCTTGTTCCTTGGAGCAGGAGAGGTACCTAGCTTAATGCTATTTGCACTTGTTATCACTTTTTCTATTTGTTTTAGCATCTTTTAATTGAACAAAAAGTCAACAGGATGAAACCAGATGAATTCTTAATGAGGCACTCATAGGAATCACTTTGTTTTTTCAAGTAAATGAAGATTGAGAAACTCTTTTATTTTTAATTTCAGCCCTTACTTCAAAGGATTATCTTTCTTTAATAAATTTATGCAGAAGTTACAAGCACACAACCAAAAAGAAAAATCAAAATGAATTTAGGTGGTTATTTTCGACTTAAACGCACTTGTAATACCATCAGGATTACTTTCGTAATTGCAGGCTGGAACTGGCATAGCAGAACTTATAGCCCTTGAAATGTCAAAGCAGGTGAAATATTTTGGTCCATACTGCTTTTTACTAATACGGATGCTTTTACCACCAGTAATTTTCTGATTATGATCATTTGTAATACATAGACAAAAGCTCCTCTGGAAGAAGCACGCAAAAAGATTTGGTTGGTCGACTCCAAGGTACCTACTTTGTGCCAAATAGATTGTATATCATAGACCATATCTATTATTCCCTTCAATTAGTTCGTAATTGTGATACTGATAACAAATGTGTGTCATCATTTTTACAGGGCTTAATTGTAAGTCATCGTAAGGAATCACTTCAACACTTCAAGAAACCTTGGGCCCATGAGTGCGAACTTGTTAACAATCTCTTAGATGCTGTCAAGGTTGGTTTAACTCTACATATGCTATTTTTCGTTAAAAAAAATCTGAATTATTCAATATGTTAATATGTACTGCTTTCTTAAACATTGTTAGACCATCAAACCAACTGCATTGATCGGAACTTCTGGTGTTGGAAAAACATTCACAAAAGAGGTGGTGGAGGCTATGGCCTCCTTAAATGAGGTACTCGTTGTACATCCTTTTTTGTGCATCTGTCGAATAATTATCTCGTATAAAATTAGTAAAATATGAAACTGATTATGCAGAGACCTCTTATCATGGCGTTGTCCAACCCAACCTCACAATCTGAGTGCACGGCTGAAGAAGCTTATACTTGGACCGAGGTCTAAATGATTGATCAACTTTACACTTGTTTGTAATATTTTCTTCGATGACATCTAGTGGACTGAATTTTTCTATTGAAACTCTTTTTCTCTTAAGGGTCGTGCTATTTTTGCAAGTGGAAGTCCTTTTGAGCCTGTTGAGTTCAACGGGAAACGTTTTGTACCTGGCCAGGTTTGTACCTTTTTTATTATGATGAATTTACCATCGACAATTTTTTAGCATGGTTAATTCAGGACTAATTATTGTAAATGTCTTCTTGGTTTTTGGTGTTCATTAGGCAAACAATGCTTATATATTTCCAGGGCTTGGTTTTGGGCTGGTGATTTCTGGTGCCATTCGGGTGCATGATGACATGCTCCTCGCTGCATGTAAGTGTGTAATTGCAAAATATTTATATATACTTAGATGAGCTATTGTTTTGATCTCTAGGTCACGTTTGATGATTAGATTATAAACCTACTTAGTGACGAGAATTAATCAAGTAGTAAATCGTTGATTATTTCTCTTGAAACAGCGGAGGCTTTGGCTGGTCAAGTAACACAAGAACATTATGATAAGGGGATGATTTATCCTCCATTTTCTAGTATAAGAAAGATTTCAGCACACATTGCTGCAAATGTTGCTGCTAAAGCATATGAACTAGGTTCGTGACATTCCCTCCTTACATATGTGTCGTGTGCATTATCATATATAATATATATTCTCTAACGAGCTGATTATTTTTATGTAGGTTTGGCAACACGACTCCCTCGACCTGCAGACTTGGTTAAGTATGCTGAGAGTTGCATGTACACTCCAAATTATAGGAGCTACCGCTGATTGTATCTACTGTAATATGCATATTTTCTTGGTTTGTTTCGAAGCATGTTTCGGGCCTCTGGCTTGTATCGGGCTTCAAGTGTGATGTGATGTGATGTGATGTGATCTAAAGAGAATATCATGTACTTTTTCCTTTTATGTTCTATTAGGACTTTCCTTAAGTTGAATAGTGAATTTCCAGAAGTTGATGAATTCCACACATTACTGTATGAACTCAGTGATGATTATAATTAATGATATCTCCATTATCAGTTCATGTTTTTAGTTAAGCTTCCTTTATTCCCATTCTGTTCTTTCTGTTATGAGCTACTGTAGCGTGTTTACGTTTTTCCTTTATGCACGCATAAGTGCGTGAGAAAGGAAGTTTAATGAGCGCGTAAGTTTTTCCTTTGCAGAGATTTGTAGCTGTGAGAAAGGAAAAGTAACTGCACAACATGAGTCAGAAACCAAGTTAATTCAATTCCTAATGGGGACTTGGTGATGTTTATGACAATGTGAAGGAACCAAATCATGCTCATGGATCCTCTACCAATAGTCAACAGAGCCTACTCAATGATTTATGCTCTCCTTTTCTACATGTATTATACATCATCCCTTGTTATTAACATCCAGCTTGAAAGCTAGCAAGATTGAAGAAGGCACCTTTCCTGCTCTCGAGCTCTTCATACGTCCCTCTCTCGACCACCTTCCCGTCAACAATAACAGCCACAGAGTCCACATTCCTGATTGTGTTCAGTCTGTGGGCCACCACAACAGTCATCCGCCTGACCATCAGACGGTCAAGCGCCTTTTGCACAGCCTGCTCTGACTGTATGTCAAGCGCACTCGTGGCCTCATCGAGCAACAATATAGTCGGGTCACGAACGATGGCTCTTGCTATTGCTATCCTCTGTTTTTGGCCTCCCGATAGCTGCACTCCCCTCTCCCCACATTCCGTGTCGTATCCATTCTTTAAGGCACTGTACATAAAAAAAAAAAAAAAAATTAGTTTTAGTTTTAGAATGTGTTTTGGAGAAAGAGATGAGTAGCTTTGCCTGATAAATTCGTGCGCGTGGGCCGCCTTGGCAGCCTCAACCACTTCATTTTCGGATGCGTCGAGTCTCCCTAGCATTATGTTGTCGCGAATGCTGCCCGAGTATATGATAGGCTCTTGGCTCACAATGGCCATGTGTTTTCTATACCACACAATGTCAAGTGACCTAATGTCCACCCCATCAACCTTAACCAACCCACGATCCACGTCGTAAAATCTTTGAATAAGGGATATCACGGTCGACTTCCCGCACCCGCTCTTCCCGACAAGCCCCGTGCTCGTCCCCGCCTTCAAATCCAGGCTAAAATCGCGCATGATTAAAATCCCCGGCCTCCCTGGATACGCAAAGTCGACGCTCTTCATCTCGATGTCACCCCTCATGTTTTCAAACTTCATTGCAACCTAATAAAAATGAAAAAAAAAAAACGATAAATAATTACACCTATTAAAAATTGGAAAATGCTAAAGTCATCATTCCTCTAAAATAAACTCCAATAAAAATTGACATGTCAGCATTTTCATATCTAACTAAAACAACCAATGATTAATATTAAGAAAACAGAATCATATCGTGACCGAACTGTAGCAATCCCCAAAAAAATAATAAATTGAGTGATAAAAAAAAAAGTTAGTACAGCTATCTATCTACTCACATTGTGGGAACCTCGAACGAGCGATTGACGGTCCAAGATGGCGAAAACGGATGCGAGAGCTGCTGACCCCTTCGCCAGGTCAGACGTCATGCTCCCGGCCTCGGCCACCACTTTCCCCGTGCTCACGAGCACGAAAAACGTCTTGAAAACATCCCCCGAAGATATCTCCCCTCTCCCCACCAAAGTGCCCCCATACCAGAAGTCGAGCGCCCAGCACATGAAACTCAAGCCCTGCGCCGACCCCATTCCCACTCCCGCCAGCCACGATTTCTTCCCAACCCCTCTCCGCACCTCATCCTGCGCCCGATCAAAAACCCCAAGAATCTCCCGAACTCCGCCGAACGACGTAACAACCCTATGGTTGCACACGGCCTCCGCCACCACCTGCGCGCTCGAGTTTTGCGACGTCATGAATCCCCCCGTCATGCTCGACAGCATCACTTTCCGAATATAGAAGCACAAGATCGCAAGCGGCTGCACGGCTATCATCACGAGCGCGAGCTTCCACGCCACGACTAATCCTATTGCCGCTGACGTGGCGACGGACGACGTCGTCTGAATCAGAAGCGACGCTCGGTCGGCCACGAGCGACTTGACCGCCGACGCCTGGCGGCCGAGCCGCGAGCAGAGGGCCCCGCTCGAGTTCTCGTCGCGGTCGAACCAGGCGGTTTCGAACGTCAGCATTTTCTCGAGCGTACGGAGACGGACTCTCCTCGTGAGGGCTTCACCCACGCGTGCGAAATTGTAGTGTTGGCAGAGGTTTAAGGCAAAAGACGCGAGGCAGAGGAAGATGAACGCGAGAGCGTATTTCAAAATGCATGCACGCATCTCGTTTTGGTCGGTTATGTAAAAGGTGGAGACCATGCTGCCGACTGTGAGGGCGTAGAGAGGTTGTACGGTGCCTGAAGCAGCGGCTGAGAGGCTGCCCATGGCAGCTTGTTTCCATTCTGGGGAGTTGAGGGAGACGAGGCGAAGGAAAGATGGATGTTGGGGATTTATGTGAGGTGTGTTTGGGAGATGTTTAGGGGAGGTGGGGATTGGTGAGGGTGGGAAGGGTGGTTTGTGGGTTTGGTTTGGGTCTCGGGTGTTGATGGTCGAGTGGCGATTGAGCTTTGTGAGTTGAGTGTAGTGGCTGCTTGCGGAGAGGGAGAGGTTGGAATGGGTTCCGGCCTCGACTATGCGGCCGTTGCTCATGACTGCAATCGTGTCCGCGTTTTTGATGCTCGAGAGCTTATGGGCGATTAACTGGTTGATATAGAAAAATAAAAAAAATAAAAAAATAAAGAACTCGGTTTTACTTGTTGGTTTCGTCTTTGAGGTGAAAATGATATAAAGAAATTATAGGGTACTCATAACACTACTACGAGAAAATGATGAAATTCCAACGAAAATATATTCCAAAAAATCCAACGGCAATTCCAATGGATGTTTCAATGTTACTATTTCCGTTGGAATATCCTTTGGATTTTGACGATAGTAGATTTTCCAACGGAAATGGAAATAAATATATTCCAACGGAAATTCTTTGAAAATATAACCGTTGGAATCATCAAAATCCATCTAATATTCCAACGAAAAACACGGAATATTTTAATTGGAATATCCGTTGAAATCATTCTAACGAAAGCTATACCATTGGAATATCCGTTGGAATTTCCATTGCAATGTATTACCATAGAATTTTCCGTTGGAATATAACAATTTTTTTGTAGTTTAAATGTGTGTGTGCTAACTAACCAGTGTTGTTATGCCAGTGGAGGCTTGATCCAGAGCAAGTTGGACGAGTGTTTCAGACTCGGAGTCGAGCGCGCTTGTTGCCTCGTCAAGGAGGAGAATGACAGGATTCCTTATGATGGCTCTGGCAATGGCTATCCTCTGCTTTTGTCCTCCTGATAAAAGTGCACCTCTTTCCCCAATCTACATATAATATATACATTCGAATATCATTTCTGTGTATTACGACGATTCATCAGAATAAAAATGATCCCATATTCCCAACTGACCTTAGTTTCATACCCGTGCGGAAGCTGCATTATGAAAGCATGCGCATTCGCAGCCTTTGCCGCCACAATCACATCATCCATGGAAGCATCGGGCTTCCCGAACAATATATTCTCCTTAACCGACGTGCCGAACAAAGCATTCTCCTGGCCCACCAGGCCCATTTTCCCCCTCAACCATTTAAGCCTCAACTCCCGTATATCTGTCCCATCAATCCGCACGGCCCCACCAATCGGGTCGTAAAACCGCTGCACGAGCGCGACAGCTGTCGACTTCCCACTACCACTTGCTCCAATAAGAGCCACTTTCTGTCCAGCTCGGATAATAAGGCTCAAGTCTTCGAGCACTGGCATGTCCGGGCGCGAGGGGTACGCAAACTTGACGTGCTCGAATTCGATCTCTCCTCTTAAATTGGGTAATATTGTCCCGTTTGAGTTCTCGGCGTCGATTAGTGGGGCTCGGCTAATTGTGTCGAGTATTCTCGATGCTGCGAGTGATGCCTCTGTGAAGTGCTTCAGTTCTGGTAGAGCCACTCCTAAAGCTCTGGTGATTTACCACATAATTTTTACACATGGTTGCAATTTCCCAGTTTGGAACAACAAAATCACTTACGGAAAATTTGCATTTTTAGTCCTGGCATTTCAGTCTCAAGGTTCCAACATTTGTTTTTTGGTCTTGTGATTTAATAATTTGCCAGTTTCCCAAATTCTCTGATTTTCGATCAGCAATTTAAGTCCTGTAATTTAAAATTTTGTTGCAATTTCAGTCTTCAAAGGACTGAAACTACAGCAAAAATATTAAATCAGGCGAAAAGTTGGAATCTCGAGACTAAAATTACTGTAATGATATACCAACAGGCACTTACAGTCCACCCAATATGAAGGAAATCCCGGAAGCGTAAATCTTCCCGCCGCTTTCTCCATTGTACATGATGAGGTGGCTCCCGTACCAAGCGAGCAGAGCCCATATCGCGAAAGAAATTCCGGTGCTTCCAATGGCGAGACCTTTTGCAATGCCCTGTTTAATCCCGAGCTTTTCGGCTCGGCATAGTATGGAGGAGTACTTGTCGACAATGCTTTTTTCGGCAGTGAATGAGTAGACAGTCTTGATGGAGCTGAGGGCTTGCATGAGAATCGTGTTTGCTTTGCTGTACTCGCTGAAGCTCTTTCTGGAGAGATGGGTGAGGTATTTTCCATATATTAATCCGGGTATGATTAAGAGGATGATTGTTGGTAATGCCACGAGGGACAGCTTCCATGAGAAATAGAACGAGAAAGCGACTCCAGATATGAACAGCGATATGTTCACCAAGAAAATCGGCACCTACATTCGCATTAACAATTAAATTTGCAATTTTATTTACCATTTTCTACTTTTTTTTGTAGCCTATAGATTAGTTTTGCTATGGAGTTATCAGATGACACGACTTATGGATGCATTAACAATTAAATTTGCAATTTTATTTACTATTTTCTACTTTTTTTTGTATAGCCTATAGCTATGGAATCATCAGATGACACGACTTATGGAGCCTCCACACTTATTCACAAATAGTGTAATGACACGTGTGCTACAATAAGTACACTCTAGTCATGTGTCAATACATTAAGTGATGGATGACTCCAAACTGACTTTCTTTTTTTTTTTTTTTTTTT